CGGGACAAACTGTACCAGCGAACTCTCTTCCGCTTCATTATGTTACCTGAGTGCTCTACAAATGGATTTGGACCTATCAACCGGGATAGATGGCTTATTGCATTTTCCTAATGGGGAACTCTTGAACCGAAGCTGCGGATATCTATATCTTCCTATAAATTTCAGGATACATTGGCTACAAGTAAAAAGACGGATCATTTTCGATTATTTAAATATATAATAGTTGCCAAATTTCGACTCGTGCAGGACTTGAACAGATCGTCAGAATTTTAAAGTTGCTTCTCAAATTGAGTCTACACATTCTCAATCAATTTATATTCGTTTTTAAATTATTAACAGTGCTTCAAGATACAAAACGAATTCTTTAGTCTAAATCCGCGTTTTGGTTGCCGCTTTCGATCGTCAGTGGATTTCCGTTTGTCTAAAATAACAACAATGCATCTTGTTTCCTATAAACAAGATGCGTCGTCGACCTATTTCACCTTCTATCAATTGCTTATCTCTCCTGCTCTATAATACTAAAGTACCAATTTTCTTGACTTTCCTTTTTGTATTTCTCGTTCACAGTATACTTTCAATTGTCTCCAAGATATAAACAAACGCCCTATATTCCACGTAGTGCAGTAGACAGTAATTCAAGACCTGTATCGAATAAAAGAAAATTAATAAAAGCGATGAGTCTTTTGTCTATGCTCCACAATCAGTTCTTTGTGTTGAGATTCTGTTAGATCTCCGATATCACCAATTTTCGCGGAACTTAGGGCTGTCATTGGAGATAGGATGACAGATCGTTCATTTATATCGCATTTAGGTATATGAGAACTAAGAACGATAAGAGTGGGTAAGATAGAGCTTAGAGCGATATCTTATTTCATTTTGTTTGTAAATTGACACAGAAACTGTTCATTTGAAAGTAATAACTTAAACTAAGCTGAATAAGTCACACATACTTGCGTAACGCATTACGTAACGAAGAGATTCATAAAAGTTGTTATCACTTCAAAATATTGGTATTAATGTATGTTCGAATATTCTTAATGCACAAGTGTTAAGATTAAAATTATATAAGACGAGAGGTCACAGCGAGAGGTGCATGTACCTTATAGGTCGAAAAAATTCGACGATAACGTGTAGGACACGGTAGCTCAATTGGTTAGTGCACGGAACGCTGTGGATGACGGTTTGAGGTCCGCCCGTGTCGTAATTTTTTTCAATCGATTTTTAATTTATTTAAAGCCATCATGTGCAATAAAATGTAAAAAAAATATTTAAATGAAGCACTTTAACGATTTAAAACGCCAATATATTAGTTAAACGTAATTTTAAAATATTTTAAACACGTTCCTCGTGACCACTGCTGAAAAGCATACGACACGTCGACCCGTAGTTAAAATAATTTGTAAATAAGTTTAACTGGTACATTTCGATTTTTAAACCGTTGAAATTGTATTATTTTAATGTGTAATTGCGTAAACTACAGATAATATGTGAAAAATATTATTATAATATTTTCAAATGAATATAATTTCTTATCCCATAGAATTCACACATAACAATCACAAATTCTGTTATTTCAACCCTGACGCTGTTGTTTCATCCGCCTCAAAGGAGAATTTATTATTTAAAGCGAAAGTTATTGAGTTTCGCTAAGGTTAAGTGAGCCTTTTGACTTGCTTCTATGAAGTGAGGTAAGGACTGAGGTGTCGGGTTCCTCTTATATGATCACTCCCGTCGTCTGCAAATTACCTGCATATTGTATTACCTTTGAAGATATACTTCGATTCCCTTTGTGATCATTCTATTAGCTCCCAAATATTCATAGTGGCCTTGTACGTGTATACCCGAAGTTGTAATGATCGACTTTTGACGGATTAAAACGTGTAATATCAGCTATATTCAACAACGTGGCCAAATTTGCTAAGCCATCGAAAGCCATAGTTAAGATTAACTTATATAATTTGTGTTTATAACTGTTTTATTGAAATATGTATTACTAGAAAACTCACAACTTAAAGTTTTTATCTATACTAATATTATAAAGCTGAAGAGTTTGTTTGTTTGAACGCGCTAATATTTGGTTGGGGGGGGAATTTTTGAAGAATTTTTTTGGTTTAAAAACATCCCCCTGCAACCAAAAGGAGCAAATTATGAATTTTTGAAGGTGTCCCTTGCATGCGCTCTAATATACGTTCAAGGTGGCCAAAAAACACGTAAGAAAGAATGATTCCTCTTTGAATGATATAAAAAATGTCTTGTGGCGACAGTATTTATGTCTATCTTTAAAATTAACTTGCAAAAATGACAGGGCGCAAACGGCGTTGTGGGTAACGGATATAATTTATAATAATGAGGAGATGGTTTGCAAAAACATATTTTGATGCACAAAATAACTATTCTTACGCGGAGGTAGTCACGGGCACAGCTAGTTTCAAAGCCAAAATAGGGCGACAGCACATCTTGCTGGCATGTTATATGACTGAGGGCTGTTTCACCCCCCCATCATGTAAACCACATGCTTATCTCTCCTCCTCTATATTAAAAAAATAAATATAAGAAGCAGACGTGGATAGCTCTATCTTTTTATTTGCTTTCTTTAAATATTAACGGTTGGAACGAGTTTACGGAGATTGAATTCTTCAAGCAATTTAACTTGAATGCGACGAATGAAGAATACGATTCGATATATATTATTCCTCGGATGCATTATGCAGATTGCGAAGGTATCGAGGCGAGCCCGCGCCAAACCGAATTTATCACATTCGCTATTCACTCCGCGGTAACATCTGCCTAGTGCCAGCCGTCGTGGAATGGAAAAATGCGCCCACGCTCCGATAATCGGATATACTGGAAATTTTAGACAATCCAATACTAACATCGCTATAAAGTTAGGCTTAAGTCGTGTATTATTTAATGAAGAATTGTGTATGGCTTCATTTCTGTTTTATCAAACAATTTATTAAGCCAAATAGTTAATGAATTTATTTTTTACCTACGCTAGACATAAAAAACTTGATCTGTAAATAAACTAAAGCTTATGTTTCTTAAAAACTCTAAAATTTACCATTTTAACGATTTAAAACGCAAAAATATTATTTCAAAGACGTCAGAGTTATAGTTAACAATGATGTTGCTAGATGATAATAAAGATTAATTATACAACTACTTATTTAAATAAAACACTTTAACGGTTTAAAACGCGATATATTAGTTAAACTTATTTGAAAATGATTTTTAACTTCGACCCGACGTAAAAAATCATTTTCAAATGTTTAACTAATATATCGCGTTTAAACTATAGACATGTAAAGGACATATTTTTTTATACAACTACTTACTGGAGTTCTAGTAATAATCATTTTATAATATAGGAAAATTAATTAAGAATTATTGTTTTCATAGTAGGCCTGAAAATTAGAAAGCAGTGCAAAAACAAATGAAATATTAAAGTTTTCAAAGTAGGCCTATGTCCGTTTTGTTTTTCAGTTGGGCTTTTTAAATTCAGTTCGGTCTCCGTTTCAGTACGATGATTCGATCGTTCGGCATAGAATTTACTTAGCGACGCAAAGTGCACGTTCCGCCCAAATTACTATTTCAATCTGAGTTCTATCGGGCTGGGTTCCGCTTCGGGACAATTTGATGTTCCGAACATTTCTTCTTTTGCGTTTGATTGATTGCTGTTTATTGTTTTGAAATAATAGCAATGAGTGCGTAGATATCCCAATAATTTGTTGCAATTATCTAGACTACATATCTATGCATTTGAATACAGCATATATGAGGCTGCAAGAGGCAGAGTGGCCTAATAACCAAAACCATGATTTGCAAATTAAGAGGAAAATAAAAATTAGGCAAAAATGACTTTTTACTATTATTTGTGTAAGAATTATGTTAACAATTTTCGGTCACTGTAATGTAGATTAACATTTTTTGACTATAAAAATATTAATAATGCAAGTCATAAAATTACAGTTTACGTACATAGTGCACATTTAACAGTTTAAAACGCGAAATATATTGTTCCGCTGCTGCAAAAGATCTGAAACGTCGGGCCGTAGTGAAAATAAATCCCGATATAAGTTAAATAATTTCGCGATTTAAACCGTTAAAAGTGTATTATTTAAATATAAAAATATTATCAAAGCGAAGTTGAGATAGTGAATTTTTATTGTGCATGTTTAAATGAGAAATTTTATTACTTTCCAGACAGCGTAGACAACAAATACAGGCACACATTTATTTAAGCTCCGTTTCCCCGGCGAGGTTCTAAGCTTTATTTAAAAACGAAGACTGTTCTTATTACACGGAGCCTGTGATAACTCGACTAGAATCGCTATGGCCCCTTTGAGCACAAACACTTTGCTTAGCAACTAATGGCACTTACATTTGTTGCATAACAAACGCTTTGCAACGCTGCCGAGTGCCGATACCTCGCCACGTACGTGAATTCAGTTATGTTGCATATGAGTACTCCGTTAGTTTCGTTACGCCGTTTATAGTATATTTAAAATTTAAAACCTTCATCGCTCAAAGTCTCCATATAACGCTGTTATACTCGTAGCTGTATCAATCCCGCCGATACAAACGCTCTTTGACAAATCGCCGTACAAAGTTTTAATTTGACTCGCACGTTCGATAATAATAGTGCGTCAAAGGAAAGCAGAGTAATAAAACGGTGTGGAGTGTTTATCTCGCGTCGCCCATCGCAGTGTGCAAACAGCGCGGCGCGGCCTGTCCGTACCGCCCATATAGCGCCGTAGGGCTTCAAAAATACACAAAGTAACACAGTTTTTAACAGGTGATTATTATTAATACCTACTAAAACTTAGTTTTAGCACGCGGTTACCTCTCAGCGGTCAGAGGCCAGTGCGGTAATCTTAAAGAGACCCGTCAAAGTGGAGCTCGCAATTTCGAGGTCGAGGGCACAATAAAAGTGCAGGTGGACCGACGCGGCTAGAAGTCGCGCGTCAAAGGGGAGCTCGCGATACCATACAAAAGCCCTAATGAGACAAACCCGTCGCGTAATCGAGGCAACGGAAAAAGATGAGACCGGAGAGGTACGAGGCAAATTTTAATAATTGTCAAAGCGGCGGCTCCGATCAAACGACGGGCGGCGCCCCCCACCCGCTCCGACCCCGCACCTGTGACGTGTGCTCGCCGCGGCTCTCGTTAGCGCCGATCTAATGCAACTTCGAACCGCGACGTCTAATTAAACTTAAACAGAATTTCAATTTTACGACTGAAATTTTAATACGCAAAGCCGTAGTCGCGCCGCCGCAGAGGAGGCGCGTTCAAAGGCAACGGCGTACACGTTTTCGCAGATATTAAATGTGTTGACAATTTAATTTTTCATTTCCTCGAGGCGGGGGGCGGCGGGCGCGGGACGTGGCTCCTTTGACGTCGCGATATTGTCTTTGTGCGGCGCGTGGGGTGGGGCGGGCCGCGCCAAAGGAGACTTTGTCGCAATACAATGTGTATCAATAAAACTTAGGATTGGCTTTTAGTGGTTGCACTTACGCTTTGTGAGGCGGCGCTCACCCTTTGACGCCGTCCGTGTGTGGGAGCGTGCGGTGGAGACGCGCGTGTGGGTGTGTTTGAGCGGGAAGCGGGAGCTAGGAAGTGCAGGACGAGACGAATTGGCGCCGGCGAGATCGGATCGCGAATCTTAATGCGTTCTTATCAACAATTATCTCATCACCCTTCATTAATGAAATGTTTTCATCTGTTCTAATTGTACTTAATTCAATGCTCTTCGTATATTAACTAGGTAATTAAGTTTCGTACGATTTTATGACAAAAAAATAATCTTAAATCAAATACTGTCTATAGTTTACGCGAGTATTACACATTTAAATAAAACAATTTAACGGTTTAGTTAAACTAATATATCGCGTTTTAAACCAATGTATTTTTTTCAATGTATATAATGCCATCATGTGCATAACATGTACAAAATATTAAAGTTTTCAAAGAAAATAACATTTAAATAAAACATTTTAGCGGTTAAAAACTCGATACATACCGTCGCATAAACTGCAGACAGTATTTAGAAAATAACATTTTAACGAGTTAATTATTCTATAGTTACACTTTTATGCTTTTAAATATAATCCATCACGTACAACTTAATATACAAATACTAATTGCAAACGTCATAGGCTTATGGAGCGTGGTTACAAACACGAAGCTAGCAATAAACAGCGCGAGCGCTTGGCAGCGATCATTTCATACCGCATGCAACCGATTCGTTATTGGAAAACTGCTTTCCACGTTCTCATAATATATTATTACTATTTGTACTTCTCTGTGAGTGCGTTTGATGAAGGTTTTCGTCGTAAAGAGGATTTGCTGTACGACGTTCGCTATATACAACAACTCGTATGATTATTGGTATACCTAGTGGGAAGAAGAGATATTGAATTTAAGACGCATTTATTGAGATGCGAAAGTTTGAACATTTGTTTTTTATAATAGAGGAATGCGGACACACATGTGGTTCAATTGATGGAAGGTTCTACATCCCTTATTATATAATTAAAATGTGCTGTCGATATATTTTGGATTTGGAAATTGAGAAAAGTATTGTGCTTCAAGGCTTTTTCCATCAGTGGAAGTGACCCGAAAGCAATTTTGATACATAACATTACTACACACTAGTAGAACCCACTCCATGTCCAAATTGTACAATCTAAGTAGTAAGTTGGGATTTAATACTATAAGGTAAAGAAGCTCGTCAACGTTTTTTTAAATAAAGCTTTGCGTTGAAAACTGCGAAGAAGAAAAAATTCAAGCAGGAAGCAACAAATTCTACTTTCGGAGGCTGGCGATATGTCTTACTCACAACGTAGAGATTAAATTAATTAATAATATATTTTTTTTTTTAAATAATTATATGATATCATCTTTCTATGAAACTAACACTCGCATTTCTGGTAAAGGTGCAGACAATATTAAATTTTCTATTACAAATTAGTATTCTTGCTAAAAGTGTCTGTTTTTCATATACGAGTTTAAGCTACCTGCTAGATATAGTTGACACACTATTAGACTAAATTAAAAAAAAAGTCCAGTTATTATAAAACTAAAAACCTGCAACAGTTTAAAACTATTTTTAAAGACCTTTGATTGTTTTTCTTTACAAATATGTTTCTTAATTTTACTTAATTGGAGTCTTAAAACATTACGAAAAAAGTAAATACAAAATTAAGTTATAGTCTGTTTGTTTGTTGAGAGACTGCTGTTTCGAATTGAAAAATTCTTCAATTAATATCTTTCTGTGAGGACGGCTTAGGCTATAAAATATCAGGCCGCGATCAATAGAAGCGAAATGTGGAAAAAAACTGGGAAAATATTCATCAGTCTAAAACGATGTCCGTGACAGAATCTGTCCATCAATGTGAATCAATGACATGTTGTTTCCAAAAGTAAATTTCAATCTTTCTAAGTCGCGAGCATATCTACTGGTTTGATACACATTTAGGGCTGTTCTACTGTTTCAGTTTAATGAGTTTTAACAATAACTGTCGTAGTCTATGGGTTTTCTTTAAAAATAAATTAATATTGCGATTAAGACACAGGCCGCTGTACACAGTCTCCAAACGATCAAAGGGAATATTCGACCAATCCAGAATTACGCACGTGTTAAGCTCCGCCCGTTTTAAAGCCACGTGCGTCGCGCGCATGCTTCTTCGTGCACTTCTTAACAGTTTGCCCTCAGCTGTCCCAAGAGCTGGACGTCCATTTGTTGCAGGAATATAAATTTTCCCGATCCGCGAACTTCGGAATAAGTATACTGAACTTTTCTCGGCTTTAGCGAGTCGATCTAAATTCATTATAAATTACATAACTGCAGTGTTAAAAGTGTTAGTGAGTTTCTTGTGGATTCTGTTTAAAGTTTTGGATTGTGCGCTCTCGGCGGGAACGCCGCGGTCGGCAGGTATTGAAATCTGAACTTTTTCGAATCGTTTGAAGAGTTTTTGCCGAGTTTACTGCGAGGGTAACGACGGTATGAGGCATTGTTTTAGGGCCTCTAGGGCCCTCGTGTCCGTTGTTTATTTAGAATCGCCCCTTTTTGTTTTGGCTGGTGGTATTGTCGCATATTGTTTTGCGTTGCTTGCCGCGGTGCTATTGTTTCGAAAATTGGTTCTTTACAATGATTGTCTATTGAAATATTAAATAGCTGTTAGGCTTTGATTGGTCGTTGTAGAGCTTTGTGCGTTAAGTGTGCTTTAGTTTGTAGTTTGAAATCCTTATCGAAGACTTCAACGCGTCCTAATACTATCGAAAAGAATTAAATTGAATCTTATAAAAAATGGTATTTTTTTCTCTATCTCTTTTAATAGCTCTATAAAGATTTATATTTGAAATACAAATCAAAAATATATTTTTAAATTATTTCATTAAAAAAAGCTTCCATTTAAAAGTTAGAACGTTTTTATTTTAGCCTTAATGAATAGCACTATAAGAGAGGTTAATGCAAATAATTGATGGTATAAATACTAGATTTCCGAATGTCCTAATCTAATACCTAGCTCATCTCAATAAAATGATATAAGGTTTAAGACATTTATTTACGCTAGAAATACATTTTCACTTAAGCGTAAACACAATATTATACATTACATAATATTATATGCGAGTAGGTACGAATTTACAAAATATATACTTGGTTTGATATGATGGATGATATACGAAACTAATCACATTCCATTAAACTAACCGCTTGTCTGAGTATCTACTGTTCTGCCAAAAACATTCAATACATTAAAATAAAACAGTTCGACGATTTAAAACGCAACTTTTTTACAAATAAATTACAAATAACAAAGATTTTTAATTTAATTATAAATAAGTTCAACTAATATGTTTCCCCTTGTGTATCGTTAGAGTTAAGTGTTTTATTTCAATGTGAACGAATCTAAACTACAGACAACATTCAATATAGTAAACGCACCTGTAGTACGCCAGCAAACATTTTAATATTTAGTTATTTTTTAAGTACTTAATACAAAGTTTTATCATTAAATCAAAACTCATTATTATCAGTCCGTAATCTTCCTCCGTTGGACGTAGGCTTCTCCCAAAGCAAAGGCTATCTATTCAAATGTATTTAAAACTGACCAAGTTCGTCGAATTATTGTTTCTTAAACAGTCGTTTTAAGTGCACAGTATATATGATAAATACAAAATAAATCGTCTCGTACTCGTCGCATAAAGCGAAAATATTCCAGGACGGAATTAGCGAACGGGCACGTACATTTCATTTCGCTAAAGTTGAAAAATCATTGAGCAATCCGACTCCGCATAATCCCGACACATTACGTCGCTCTGAGCGCGCCCGCTTTAAGGCTTGAATAAAATATGTCATTAGCTACATTATCGTGTTACTGTCCGTCGCATTAAAAAACCTCTGAAAGCGTAATGCTAAAAGGGTGCGCAGGCGTCTTTGAGTCCGTCTCCCGCTAATTTCCAGATAACGCTAGAGACGAGGTGTCTTTGATGTGCCGGGCGCCGGCCCTCTGACTCCGGGATGAGAGCTTTCAATGAAAGGATTTTTTTCATCTCCTTTCCCTTTGTACTTAATTTAAATTTCGTTTATATCAATGCGCCGTTCCCTTTACAGTGTTTTCTCTTTTACTTTGTCGCGATTATCCACTTCAATTTGTTATGTTCGTTCGTTTTGTAATTAAACTTAGTGTTCGTAAGCTGGCTTAATTTTTTTCGTTATAAGCTACCGGAGTGGTTTCATTTTTGATTTAGTAAAAAAAAAATGTAAAAAGTAATTAAGTAAATACTGACTGTAGTTAAGCGATTAGTACACATTGAAATAAAATACTTTAACGGTTTAAAATGAGATATATATTATTTAAACTTATGACGGAGACGGGTCTCACCGTGACCACTGGCTGCTACAAAGCATCCGAACCGTTTAAATAACAGTTAAAGTTTAAATAGACTAGTGTTATTCTCTGCTTACATTAATAGATGTACTTTTTATGTTAAATGTGCGATTATTTTTAAAGTTCTAATCATATATCGCATGGGACAAGGAGCAGACACGTGTCGCTTACAAGACCAGTAGAAAAAATTATCTCTGTACTCTTCTCGACTGAAACTATTTTTGATTCCCGGGATTCTAACTTCTCTTGCTTATCGCATAGGCAACGCGTTTGAATAACTAAATACGTATATATATCTGAATAGTAGAAACGCAAACGACTGCGAGTGTTATCGCATTTATAAAATTATGGATATTATTATGAATTACACGTGAGCTTCATAAAAGCACGGAGCTAATGTGTATTTCGCAATGAGCCACTTTATTATTCAAGAGCGCTTGTTACTTTTTCAACAGCCGTCTGCTCCTGTACGCGATCCTTTGTCCCGAATGTTAAGGTTTTTATAGCTAAACTCGTGGCTGAGTTGGGATAGTTCTCGTGGCATTCAACACTGGCTAATTTATCATCGAATCAAGTGTAGTCTTTTAAATAAAACACTTTAACAGTTTTAAACGCGATATGTATTAGTTAAACTTATTTGAAAATTATTTTAACTTCGGCTCGACGTGTTGGATGCCCTCCAGCAGCCATGGTCACGGGACTGCGCGTTAAAATAATTGTCAAATTAATATATATATCGCGTTTTAATCCGTTAGTGGTTTATTTAAATG